AGCTTTGCTTTCTCTATCTTCTCATATAGAAAGAAAATTTCAATAAGCCTATTATAAGAAAATAAGGTACCTGGGCCACTACTTTTGGACTGCCCTAAGATATCAAAAGAGAAAACCTATAATGTTCCTAAATCATCAAGTCAATTATCATTTTTTCAATCATCTGCAAAGAAAATGAAAAAGAAGAAGAAGAAGAAGAAGGCGAAAAAGAAGAATAAAAGACGACGAAGAAAAATGAAGAACATTATCAAAAATAAGAATCATCGGTATATTTTCTTTTTCATTTTTCTAATATCATTTATGATCATGTCATTATTTTTCGTTTCTGTAGACAATCAGCTTACTTAAAGGTATCCTGGAACATACTAATGAACAATTTAAAAACAGATCTAAACCATCCTCTTAAAAAAAGAAATGAACAAAAATTCGTCTATACACGATTACATCTATTCAATGAAGAATTTACTTTAAATCTTAACCAAGATATATGGCAATCATATTTGGATCTTGGATCACAACAACAATACCCACAAGTCTGGCCAGTAAGTGAATCGCATGATTCATCAAATATATGTTTCTTTTTTTTAATCTTAAGAGTGAAATCTATGAAATGGCTAAAACCAATGAACCTGATTTATGTAAACAATATATGGTGAAATCTTTAAATGAAATTAAAATTCATCTTGATGTATGCTGTACTAAATTAAATACACAAGAACAATCATGGATATCAACACTTCCTCCACTAGAAATGCTCGATGATACTCTTAAACAATTTGTTCGTCTACAGAACGAACATTTATCCAAAACAATAAATAAACAATTAACACAGTATAAAAATATTCTAGAGGAAAAAAAATTATTCCAAGAAATATCACTCTATCTAACACCGAACGATCAGATATGTGAATAAATCTATTAAATCTTTCATATTTATCAAATTATTTGACGTATTTGAATAAGGTACTAGTGGATCAATTAATCAACTTGCAACAAGTACAAATAAAACTCATGAAAGAATTCATCATGCTAGAACAACGAATAATCTGCAAATTGCTACCTAGTAATTTCGATCCTCTGGATCATTTGATTCAATCTCGTCTTTATAAACCTGTGATTCATGATATAACTTCTATTGAATTCAAAAATCAAAGTGATAGAACTATACAACAAGTCAAACGTACATGGTTAAATATTTACAGTAAGACGTATGAAATGAAAATTCAAGAATATGAAGAACAATATATAGAACATCTACATATGTTTCAACTACGATTTCAATCCAAAGATAATGTCGATAAAATATTTCGTCTCAATTCAATTAAAACTTATCTAAATAGTCGAAAACAAAGAATGATTAAAGAGATCTATATCAATATGTCAGATTATCGAAAAAAATTAATCAGTTATCGTAAACGTTTATCAAAAGCAAAGAATACTAAAGACGTATCACCGAAACCAATTTTCTATCTATTATATAATCCTTTCAATGATCAGGAACGTGATCATTTTTGTAAAGGTAAAGTTGTACTCGATTTTTATCAAGAGTCACTTTTGTTTTGTAATATTATGATTAATTTTTAGGTCCAAATTATATAAGAATGAATCAAAGTGCTGTTGAGTCTTGTAAGAAACGAAAGCAGCTAACTAAGAAAGAACATGATAACATTATCAGCAAAGTGAAAGATTACCTTGCTACATATCATCGTATAGATCGGACACTACCAATTTATGATATTTATTCAGAAAATCTTCAATATTGTCTTGATGTTCGTTATATGACTCCATTATCAATCTCTGATCAAATTCGTGCTCAACGTGAAAAAAATATTGTTAAATCGATTCATCAAAAATTGAAAAAATATAAACATCTTGTTCGTGTAACCGACAAAAGTGGTGTATTTTGTGTTCTTCGTACTCAAGATCATGAACAAAAAGCAATTGAATATCGTGAAAAAACGAAAGCTTATAAAGAATTATCTTCGAATCCATTTGAAGCAACATTAAATAAAGTTATACGATTACTCAATGATCTTCATGCGAAACACAAAAAACTTAGAACTTGGCAATATAATGAAATGTGCCCCAATGTAAAGACATGTAAATTGGCTTACATGTATTTTAATTCGAAAACACATAAGGTAATTCAAAAGCTAGTTCTCTTTTGATTTTAATTACAAACAACATATTTATTAAATCAATAGGATGGTACGCCATTTCGACCAATCATGAATACTATTGATTCACCAACGACGAAAATTTCACGTCTTTTAGATCGATTAATTCGACCAATATTTAATGAAAAAGTTACAGATACAAATATTATTGATGGAGCACATCTTATTAAACGTCTTCGTCAATATGCCAATGATGGTCATTTAAAACCAACCACTTTATTCTGTACATTTGATATTAACAATTTATATACAATGTTACCACAACAAGAATCACTCGATATTCTTGTAGAATTTCTTCAAACTTTTGAAAAGTCACACGTACAAGGAATAGATCTTGCAACTCTTCGTGAATTAGGTCGTATTGTAATTGAAGAGAATGTTTTTGTCTATCGTAACAAATACTATCAACAGATTATTGGTGGTGCTATGGGATCATCCTTTACATTAACTTTAGCAAATATCTTTATGTGGAAATG